ACCACGGTGTCTTTAACAAAGCTTAAAACGTAGCCTGAACAATGTGGTAGGTAAAGCTGAAACTTAATGGGCAAAAAATACTCAAAGTTCAGATTTTAAGTTGGATATTACAGCTAGTTCCACTTATATTTTCTTCCCCATTCATTTGGTACATAGTAGACCATTTTCCCTCCCATTTAGGGGAGAAGAGAAAATGGTACATTACAAAATCAAGCATAATGTAAAGACCTGCTCATATCCCTTCCCTACATTTGCAACACTCTTTCATTGGTTAGCATAATCTCAAATTCTGAAGGCAACATACTCCTAAAAAAGAAAACCCTAGACACCTTATGAAGGCTCAAAGTCAGCTCTAGGCAAAAAAAGAAAAAAAAAGAAAAAAAAATCACTCTAAGCAAGAAGCCTTTTTCCAAAAGATAGAGTGCACATAAATATGGAGACAAGAGACATGGTTTCAGTTATCTACTCACTGGAAAAGATGTGTAACAACCCTACACAGAGAAGTAAAATAATCATTTTTATTATGCTTATGAATTCTTTTTAAGACTTTAACTTATTGTTTTTTCAGAGCAGTTTTAGATTTAAAACAAAATTGAAAGATACAGATAATTCCTATATAACCCCTAGCCCCTCCACACATGCATAGCCTCCCCATTACCAGTATTGTCCACCAGCATTGTACATTTTTTATCAAGGATGAATCTACACTGACACATCAAAGTCACCCAAAATCCACAGCTTACCTTAGGGTTCGTTCTTGGTGTTACACATTCTATGGATTTGGACAAAAGCATAATGACATACATTCATTAACATTATAGAGTATTTTCATTGCTCTAAAAATCCTCTATACTCTGTTTATTCATCTCTCCCTTGTCCCCGTCTGGGAGCCATTGGCTTTTTTTTTTACTGTCTCCATAGTTTGTCTTTTCCAGAATGTCACATATTTGGAATCACAGTGTGTAGCCTTTTCAGCTTAGTAGTATTCATTTAAGGTTCCTCCGTGTCTTTTCATAGCATGGTAACTCAATTCGTTTTAGTGCTAAATAATATTCTGTAGTCTGAATGTACCATTGTGTATTAATCCATTTATTTAATGAAAAACATCTTGGTTGCTTCTAAGTTTTGGCAATTATGCATAAAGGTGCTATAAACATCAATGTGCAGGTTTCTGTGTGGACATAAGGTTTCACCTCCTTTGGGTAAATAGTAAAGAGTTCAATTGCTGGATCACATGGTAAGAGTATATTTCATTTTATAAGAAACTTCCAAACTATCTTCCAAAGTGGCTGTACCATTTTGTGTTCCCACTAGCAATGTATGAGAATTCCTTTTGCTTCACATCTTCACTAGCATTTGGTGTTGTCAATTTCTAGATTTAGGCCATTCTAAGAGATGTGCAGTGGTAAGTCATTTTTTTTTTTTCACTTTGCATTTCCCTGATGGCATATGATGTGGCGCATCTTGGCATATACTTATTTTACATCTGTATATCTTCTTTAGTGAGGTCTGTAAAGGTGTTGGCCCATTTTTTAAATGAGCTTTTGTTTTCTTATTGTTGAGTTTTAACAGTTCTTTAAACATTTTGGATAACAGTCCTTTATCAGATGTATTTTTTTTTGCAAATATTTCTCCCAGTCTGTGTCTTGTTTTCCATTCTCTTAAAATCGTGGATTCTTCAGGTCAGGAATTAGGACAAGACAGAGCAGGAAAGGCTCACTTTGGTCCACAAGTCTAGGTCCTCAGCTGGGAAGGCTGAAAAGGCTGAAGGGTAACTAAATGGCTGAAAGCTGGAATCTGCTTCTCCATTCTCATATCTGGCACCTAGGCTAACTGGAGGGCTGGGCTCAGCTGTGACTGTCAATCAGAGTACATTCAAGGGGTCTCCCTATTGCCCTGGGCTTTTCACAGCACATGGGACTCAGGTAGTCAGACTTCTTACATGATGGCTGAGAGCTGCAAAAGCAAGGGTTTCAACAGACTGCATGGCCTTTTATGACCTAGCCTCTGAAGTCACATATGGTGACTATGATCACTTTCTCTATATTCTCTTGTGTAAATCAATCATAAGCCCATCCAGATTTAAGAGGAGAAGACACAAAGTATACCTTTTCATGGGAAGGACATCAAAGAAGTCACAGCCATATTTTAAAACCACCAAGGGCATATTTGTATAGAGAGATGTGAAGACACATACCAAAAGGTTGACAGCAGTGCCCACCTCCCACGTTCCCTCAAAGTGAATTTTATTAACTTATTATTTTAAGTCAGACTAACACAAACATATTCTCCTTGGATGGCAAAATTCCATCTACCTATTTTCATGTAATACAGTAACAAACAGAAACTTCATTTCATCTATATAAACTGCATCAAGAATGAATAATGTCTTACTTTGGGGCCTAGTACCATCTGCCAGTTACAACCACTTCTTATCTTCCAAACACCATCAAGCTCAGATCCACCCTCAGGCTTAGACTAAGTCATATCCAGAAAGAATACAGAGAATACATATAGCAGATAAAGTAAGTAGACTAGAATCACACCAGCATTATGATTGCTGAAATTGGTGGCCATTCTCTATCTCAGTAATTGCTAGACTTTAGGATCTCGTGGACCAAGAAACATTTCAGAAATAAAATAAACCAAATGGGAGCAAATAAAGTTAGCAACAAATATTTCTTCAAAGAAAATTATTTAGAAAATAACTACTCTATAGCTGTCATTGGATAAAAGAAATAGAATGAACAATTTCAATATAATGTACAATCCTTAAGAGTGAGTTTAACTAAATGAAAAACTCACTATATTTTTTTCTTATTTCTCTGCTGATCTGTAGCAACTTCACCATAGATGAACCCCAGTTCACAAACTGGTGTGCAAAACTACTTGTCCATCTGACATTCTGGTCTCTTCCATCTCTTACTTTATTCTGATAGTTCTACAACTTTAGCTTGCTCCTAGGAAAGACAGACAAATAAGTAATTAAAACACAACATGAATGCCATAAGGATACAGGGAACAAAATCAAGAAAGTTTTCACAAATTAGGTTGAAAAAGGTTTGCCCCTGGGAAAGAATGAGGAAGACTATTAAAGTTGGCAGTGACTGTGACTGAAAGCATAGAGACAATCTACGTATGCAGTATATCCAAGGAAGATACATTGTGAATCAAAAAAGTAAGTAGTGGTTATACTTGATTGTAGAGCAAGGGTTACTTTTCTCTTCTATATTCTTCTAGTTTCTGAAATTTAACACTGGAATATGCATAAATTTAATGATCAGGAAATACACAATTATTTTGATTTTGTAGATTACCCTTAGGAAGAAGAAACAAAAGGTCTATTTCCCTTTGAGAAAGCAGTTTGTATTAAAAGAGGCCAGGTTGGAAAATGGAGATGTTAAAGACTGGAGTATGGATGCAGAAATGCAGCTCTAGACTTTGGCCAGGGCAGATGACACTGGGGAAGATAACATTCCCTCAATGCCTCTGTTAGAATTCTAGGCTATGTGTACTCAGACTGAGGCCTTCTTGTCCACAGTCATGAGTCAGAAACTCTCAGGTGGCAGGTGTGTCTGACAAGTCAAATGCTTAGCAGTGCCTTTGGAATCAAGAGACCAAAGTTGGAATTTCAGCTCTACCACTAACTAGCTCAATGAACAAAGGCAAATTACTTAACCACTTGAAACTTTTTTTTTTCATCTGTAACATGGAGAACTGCCTACTTTTGTGGATTTAGATTAACTGATATAATGTAGGTGAAGAATTTAGTACAATGCCTGCCCCTCAGAACATGAGAATTATAATAGAGGACACATTTCTATATCTAATTGAGAAGTTAGATATTTGTTTGCTTTGTTGGTTTTAAAAGGCTTTAAGATCCTATTTGCCATTTGTTGTATAGGTTTAGCTAAAAGCTGTCAGTTGGAACGTCAAAACCTTTTGAAACTTAAATGTATGAGTTTTTCACACGAGTTCTAAATGCGGAAAGGATATTCAGTATTTGCAGTTGCTTCTAAAATTCAGCTACCTTTAGAATTTTCTGCAAAATCCAGAAATAATTAAGTAGCCCTCCCGTAGTTTCTAGCAACTGATAGAAAACTAGAAGGACGCTTTCCATTCTTCTCTTATTCCACCCGCTCCCCTGTCCACTCACAGAGAGAACCGGAAATTTCTATGCAAATAAATGGCTCAGTTATAAGGTCTTACCCAGTCTTTCTTAATGCTGGAATACAGTCAGCAGAACATAGCAGGTGTCCCTCAAGTGTTCTCCATCAATTCTTACAGCTTCCAGAATCCTGTTCACGGGCCTTTGGGGCAACCAGTACCAACTCCAACAATTCCTAACCATCTCCTCTCCTACCAACCTCCTAACCTTGCTACGCCTCTCTACAGCCCCTCCCCCAGCAAATGACCAATCAGAGAGTGTAAAGTGAGGCGGATGGGGCGGGCCCAGTTTGGAGCTGTCGACGAATCAGCAACCTCAGACGGCGGGGGCGGAAACGGAAGCCCTGGGTTGGCTTTGGGTTCCGTTGTGGGGATGTCCCGTGGGAGTGAGTGAGGAAATCCTGGGGCCGGCAGGTTTGAGTCCTCACCTCCAATCTGCCAGCGAAATCGGGCGAAGAGACGCCTGCAGACGCGGGAGGGAGAAAGCTCGACCGCCCAAGAAAAGAGCAAGTGGGCAGGCAGCGGCGGGGCAGAACCGAACTGTATGCAGGGTCTTTAGGGGCCGGTCCTGGTCGGCGCAGCTCACCTCGAGGCCATGGTGCAGGCGGTGCTCTGGGCGATACCCAGGTGAGGGCAGCGGCTCCGCCCGGGTATTCCACCACCGAAAACTGGGTAGATGCGGTGTGGGGAAGAAAGGATGCTGCCCGCACTGCTCCCTGGTAGCACCCTGAGTGGCCGCAGTTGCGGCAGCAGTAGCAGCAGAAAGCACAACGCGGGCCGAGGAGGCGGCTCGAGCTGCTGGTAAAGTCGCCCAACAGCTGTTTCTCTGTAGCATGCGAGTTGACAAAACAACCAAAGAACAGGGCTCCCCATTACAATCTCTGTCGAGCTCTTTTTCCTTGCCATTGGGAGCTGATTTATGCGGAAACATGCCTTGCACTTGTACCTGGAGGAATTGGAGACAGTGGATTCGACCTTTAGCGGTTGTCATCTACCTGGTGTCCATAGTGGTTGCGGTTCCCCTATGCGTGTGGGAATTACAGAAGCTGGAGGTAAGAGGGTGTTTCACCATTGGCCTCTACCCTTTCTTCTACCGTCCTGCCCGTCTAAGGTTGCCCATTTTTACCCTAGATGCCCCAAACTTGATATCCTGCAAATCAGGGCATGTAAATGAGCCCAGTCTTAGTTCATAAACCTGTCTGGTTTCTTGTTCACTGGTTTTCAAAGCGTGCTGCAGGTGGAAGGAGGGCCAAGTCGAGAAAATAGAATATATTAAGATTGCTGCTTAGAAGAGCACTCTTTTGCAAGTATTCCATCAATTCCCTGAAAGTAAGATAATTTTATTGCTGAAATCTGATCTGTTCAGATACTGGACTACCTTGAAAACCATGTATTGAATTTTATTAGCATTTAACTAGCTTCCTGAATTAAAGGGTTCTAGTTGGTTTAACTTTGTTGTTTGTTTTTACTTAGAAATTAGCTCTTAACCAATAAAGATTTTGCAAACGTCCCTTGTATATTTTTTGATGTCATATTCTTATTATGACATCAGTAAAGTACTACAAACTGGAAAACCCCAAGGTAAATACTCAACTAAGATAGGTACTTTAAAAAATTGTATAATGAATTTTAAATTCTAAGTTAATAAAAACCAGCAAGTACTTTTATTTAGCAACACCTATTTTATAAGAGCAATGGTGAGACAACAGCTAGTTTAGGCTTTTTGTTATGGAAATGTTTTTACGTAATTAAACAAAAATGCATTTTAATATACATTTGTTTCCTGTATGTTCACTAAGTTATATTTTGTTGACTTTCCCATATTGGCATAGCCCATGTAGTTATTTTTAATGTTCATATAATATTCCATTACGTTAAATATTTCCTCTTTGTTAGATATTTAGGTTTCTCATGATTTATCAACCAGAATTCAAGTACAGACATTTTATTACAAATAAGTATTTCTTTGAAGTATTTTTTTGGAGTGTGGTGTAGGAACTACTTTTAAGGCTAATATGTGTAGTATCAACCTACTTTAAGACTTCTCTTAGTTGTTGGTTAACTATAGTTTTTAAGTGCCAACTTTTAAGGAAAAATTTAATCTGCAATCTCTACTGCAAACACCCTGAACCAAATTCTCTTCATGTCTTGCCTGAACTATTCTCAATTCACCAGCCAAAGTATCGAATTAAAACAAGTCCTGTTCTTCTCAAAGTTTTCCAGTCACTCCCGAGTCCAGATTAAAAGCTAATATCCCTCACTCTGGCCATTACAGCCCAACATAATCTGACACTACCCCACCCAATCCCCCTCTGACTTTCTCTTCTCAATTCCTTGCTTCTACCACGGGGACTTTGCTCTAACCTGTGGGAGTATGTTATCGCCTTAGGACCTTTACATTAAATGCTCCCCCTTTATGGCATTCTCTTCCCCTAGATGGTATTCTCATTCCTTTATGTCCTTCAGGTCTTTTACTTGAATGTCACCTTGCTACTCTGTTTAAAAATTGCAAGCTTTCCTTCATCCCAGTGATAAATCAGGCTTGTGTTCTATATGGTGAGAGAGAGAAATCTAGCACTCACCTTCATGGAACTTAGTGGTAGAGATCAATACAACAACAACAACAACAAAAAAAGGCTATGGAAAAAACTAAAAAAAGATCTAATAAATGAACCAGCAGGCATCTTGAAAAGACCACTACCAGCTATAGAAAAGTGGAAGTGAAGGAAAGTTAGAAAGCTGTTTATGGTAGTTACGAGGTCATGGGTGCCTGAGTTACAATGACTATGGCCCAAATCAGAATAGCAGAAATAGAGATGGAAAACTGACTTTTAAGTATCCTTGGCAGTGAAGAAACAAAACTGTAAAAATGAGATGTGTAAACTGTTTACATGTTTAGGGACAGGTTTATATGAAAAACATTTGTCTTTTAAACACTAGAATCACAATGCTCACACTGAGAAGTCAGTGGGAACTGAGATTGTAGAAAACAAGAAGTTCATAAGAGCCCATCCCATGCCCATGGTGGGGCATGTACTCATTTACTGGAATGGCAAGATGACCATATGCCTTCCTTAAATTATTTCTATCTCTTACTTGGCTGAGCATGTGTAATGGAAGGTAAGTAAGTGAAATGCACACATAATGTCACACTACTCACTCTGCAGTCATTTTACCCTGCCTTATGTGCACTTATGCCCTGAGTAGCTACTCTTTCTGTAAGTTCTCCTCTCTTCCCCTCAGGAAGATTGGGCCCACAGAGCACACTCTTATTGCACTCTGAACCAAATGTTTTCAATTGGTTCAGGTTCAGTTAACCCACTCCTGGATGCTTGTCTTTAATGGTTTTTTCTACTTCAAGTTACCTTAGGGGGGAAAAATTGTGCTACTTATCTCCTCCTTGTCTTGTGAACCAAAACAACCCTGCTTATGGCTGATAAGTTTAATAATGTTAAGCGATAGCCTCATATCAATGTGTCTCAAGTGTGAATAATTTATTTAGAAATTGGGGCGCCTGGGTGGCGCAGTCGGTTAAGCGTCCGACTTCAGCCAGGTCACGATCTCGCGGTCCGTGAGTTCGAGCCCCGCGTCGGGCTCTGGGCTGATGGCTCAGAGCCTGGAGCCTGTTTCCGATTCTGTGTCTCCCTCTCTCTCTGCCCCTCCCCCGTTCATGCTCTGTCTCTCTCTGTCCCAAAAATAAACAAACGTTGGAAAAAAAAAATTTTTAATAAAAAAAAAAAAAAAGAAAGAAATGTCAATTAAAATAAAGGTAATAATGATTTCTACAAATACCTAATGTTTACTTATTTTAATAACTAAATATGTGGATACCCAAAATAGCTTTAATTTCTTATGCATATAGCTTTTTAGGTACCTCAGAAATTAAAACAGCTATAAAACCAGTGATTCAAATTAATGGCATTAATGTGGACAGATGATGGTTTTAAGAAACTACCCCTTGCAATGTAAAAATGGTACTAACTCTATGATGCAAGGTATTTTTTAATTTGGTATCTATACTGAAATGACTCAGTTCTCTAGTCACTCGTTTTATGATCATTTGAAAAGAACTTTCTTTTTTACAGCACACTGAGGATGCTTGGCCTTTATTAGTCACAAGCACATCATTTTTCTCTTAGGTCTACCACCAAGTTGGCACTAAGGCGATTATAAAAACAAATGTGGGCATTAAAATTACTTGGCAATACTGTTCTTCATTATCACCTTATAATTGAGAAGATCTAGAATATGCTATTATTATTACTATTTTAGGTCATCATTAAAATGGATACAGATCTTCCTTGGTTTACAGTGGGATCACATCCTGATAAACCCATCATGTTAAAAATATCATAAGTAAAAATGCGTTTAATGCACTTAACCTGCCAAGCATCATAGGGACATAGTCTAGCCTACATTAAACTTGCTCATAACATTTACATTAGCTTATAGAGGCAAAATCCTCTAACAGCATATTTTATAGTAAAGTGTTGAATATCTCATGTAATTGGATACTGTAGTAAAAGTGAAAAACAATAGCTATATGGGTGCAAAAGGGTCTCAACTATGATGTTTAAAAAAAAATTTTTTTTTTAATGTTTTATTTATTTCTGAGACAGAGAGAGACCGAGCATGAGCAGGGGAGGGGCAGAGAGAGAAGGAGACACAGAATCCGAAACAGGCTCCAGGCTCTGAGCCATCAGCACAGAGCCCGACGCGGGGCTCGAACTCACAGACCGTGAGATCATGACCCGAGCTAAAGTCGGATGCTCAACCGACTGAACCACTGAGGCACCCCTCAACTATGATGTTTTAACTTTTGACTTTACAATGGTGTGAAAGCAGTGTACATTCAGTAGAGACTATACTTCAGATTTTGAATTGTGATCTTTTCCTGGATTAGTGCTGTGTAGTATAATGTTCTTATACGCTGGGCAGGGGCAGCACGCCATAGTTTTTTCAGTCAACCATGCAACCATGAGGGTAAACATCTGATACATTTAAAGCCATTCTGTATGCATACAGCCATTCTGTTTTTCACTTTCAGTATAGCATTCATTAAATTACATGAGCTATGAGATATCCAACACTTTATTATAAGTAAGCTGTATGTTAGATGATTTTTCCCAACTGTAGACCAATATAAATATTCTGAGTATGTTTAAGGTAGGCTAGACTAAGCTATGATGTTTGGCAGGTTAAGTGCATTAAATGCAGTTTCGGATTTAGGGTATTTTCAACTATGATAGGTTTATCAGAATGTAACCCCATCACAAGTTGAAGCTATATCAGTTGTTTACCCTCATGATTGTGTGGTTGACCTGGAGCTATAGCTCCCTGCCCCTGCCCAGCATCAGAATAGTATCATATCACACAGCGAAAAACTCAGGAAAAAATAAAAATTCAAAGTATAGTCTCCACTTAGCGCATATCACTTTTGTACCAATGTAAAGTCAAAAAATTGAAAGTTGAACTGTGTAAGTCTGGGACCATCTATACTCAATTTTAGATGAAATTGAACAGGGGTGCCTGGGTGGCTAAGTCGTTTGAGCATCCACCTCTTGATTTCAGCTCAGGTCATGATCCCATGGTTCATGGGATCTAGTCCTGGGTTCAGCTCTGCACTGACAGTGTGGAGCCTGCTTGGGATTCTCTCTCTCCCCCTCTCTGTGTCCTTCCCCCACTCATGTCTGCTTGTGCACACTCAAAATAAATAAATAAAAATTTAAAAAAATAAATGAAACTGAACCAAGCAAAAATCCCTGAAAAATGATTATAAAGACATTCCTTTTAGGATCTTCTTCTGCACGTACTCACTTTTCACTTAACTATTTTGATTAATATCCAGAGTTTAAGACTTTTTGTATAGTTGACCCTTGAACAGCATGGGTATGAACTGCAGGTCCACATATACACAGTTTTGCCGATAAATACAGTGTAAATGTATTTTTTCTTAAGATTTTTAATAGCATTTTCTCTAGCTTTATTATAAGAATACAGCATATAGTACATGTAACATACAAAATATGTGTTAATGGACTATTTATGTTACCAGTAAGGTCAACATTAGGCTATTAGTGGTTAAGTTTGGGGGAAGTCAAAAATTATATATGGGTTTTTGACATTTGTTCTCTATACTTTTGTTTTCTACTTCTTTAATCTTTGACCCCTGTTGAAAAAAAATCTTGTTCAAAACAGTAAAACTAGAAGTTGTAGACTTCAGCTCTATTTTAATTAGCTGTTCAGATCCCAAAAGTACCAAAATTAAATGCCCACCTTTTTTCCTTTAAAACATTAGCATTAATGTACCCCTGCCTTGATGAGTGAATTCACAAGTTAATATAAAATTCATTCTCTAGGGCCCCATGGACAGAACAGAGGTTCAATTTTTTTTTTTTTTTTTTTGGCAGAAAGTAAGTGAATTACTTCAACTCTACCTTAAGATGAGATAGTTGAAAGTGTATTTTTAGAAATTGAGTTTTTATAGGATAAAATATTGATCAGATACATAAAAAAAGAAATTAGAGCTTTTTAAAATGTAGTATCCTGAGTTGATATTGTTATATGTAAGAGGGGTAGCATGTATTAACACTGTTTGCTTGGACAGTGGTTGTGGCAATACTTACCAAATGGGAGGGTTAAAAGACATAATGTATACAAAAAAAAAAAAAAAAAAAAAAAAAAAAAAAAAAAACTTAGCAAAGTATTAGGCAATACTCAGTAACATGTTGTGTAACAGTAAAATTCACAGAAAATGCAGGTAGAATTTTTACTTTCCAAACATAAAAGCAAAGGAATAGACCATAAAAAGATTTTTAGAACTTGTGGAAAAATTTTAAAACTTCTGTACATCCCCAAGCACAATAATCAAATATAAAAGACAAATAACAAGCTAAGGGAAAATGATCTGATGTTAATATTCTTAATGTATACAGCATTGTTACAAAAGGCCTCACAAGGAAAAATGCTCAACGCCATAAGGAAAAATCATCCTCCTCCCTCCATAAAAGCACAGATAGACTGGGGTGTTTTTTTGGTTTTTTGGGGTTTTTTTGTTTTTTAGGTTTATTCATTTTTGAGAGAGAGAGGATCTCAAGCAGGATCCACACTGTCAGCACGGAGCTCGATGTGGGGCTTGAACCCATGAACTGTGATGTCATGACCTGAGCCAAAATCAAGAGTCTGGTGCTTATCCGGCTGAGCACCCAGGCGCCCCTAGGCTGTTTTTTGAAGAAGAAGAAAACAAGCAACTAGTTATTTGGAAAATGTTGGGCCTCATTAGTAATTACATAAATCTAAATTTTAGAAATAAAAAATATTTTATTTAGGTCTTTCATTTTAATATCAGAGGATTTATTTTAAATATGTTCTTTTATTTTAGGTTGGAATACACACAAAGGCTTGGTTTATTGCTGGAATTTTTTTGCTGTTGACTATACCTATATCACTCTGGGTGATATTACAACATTTAGTGCATTATACACAACCTGAATTACAGAAACCAATAATAAGGATTCTTTGGATGGTACCCATATACAGTTTACATATTTCAAAGCTATGAAATATCTTTGAAATATCCCAGCATTGCAATATATGTGGATACCTGCAGAGAATGTTATGAAGCTTATGTCATTTACAACTTTATGGGATTCCTTACCAATTATCTAACTAACCGGTATCCAAATCTGGTATTAATTCTTGAAGCCAAAGATCAGCAAAAACATTTCCCTCCTTTGTGTTGTTGTCCACCATGGACTATGGGAGAGTAAGTATGTTTGGTTTTAGTCTTTTTATGTATTTCAACAGAATTTTTAAGCATCAGTCAGTTCTCTGCAAAGTGTGTTAAGTACTATGAGCAGGACAAAAAGTTAAGAAGAGTTCCTACCCTCAAGTAGTTCATAATCAAGTTTAAAGAATAATAAAACACATATTTATAATCCACACATACAAATTACTCTCATACATTATTCATCCTAAATAGCAAACTTAAAACATTGCAGGGGAAAAAAACCTTAGAAATCATTTAATCAACATCCTTTTACAATTGGAACCCAGGATCTATAGAGATTAACTTACTTGAGATTACATAGATAGTTAATGGCAAAATCAGGTGTAAGACCCAAGGAGAAGGTAGTCTAGGTGGGGAAACAGTATATGAGATAGGAGCAACAAATAGTATTTATTCCAGTACTAAATAATGGGTTAATTGGCCTTATTATATATCCATAGAGGACAGTAAAGGAAAATAAAGCCTGACAAATTCAGTTGAAGCTAAGATTGCATTTTTTACATGAATGAGCCATTTGATATTTTTCAACAAGGAAACATTTGACAATGCCATTTTAGAAAGATAAATTTTGCAATACTATTCAGGATATATTAGAGGGAGGAAGATTCCAGAGATGGGGAAATAAATTAGAAGGTTATTACAGTGGTCCATTTGTGAGATAAGCTGAAAAGGAGGAATGAAATTGGAATAGAAAGGAAAGAGACTGAAACTGAAGGACTGGTAGGAGTTGATCACTGATAATGGAGAATAAGGTGAAAGTTGAAAGTCAAGGTAACTGGAAAGATTTGGAGTTATAGTAATCAATGTAGATATACAACCTAGGGGTACCTACATTGCCTCCCATGAGATACAGAACCATTTGTACAACATTGGGACTAAATAGGTCTCTAGTTTACACATTTGAAATGACAGGGAGCTACCTAGCTATTTTAAGTAATAAGCTCCTAATGTGTTCATTAACACACTCGGTATGTATTGAGCACCTAGTGTGTGCCAGTATATGGATATATCTTAATGCACATAACAGATGTAGAACTCGTGGAACCAACATTTTGCCTCAGAGGTTTGGAATTAAATGAAGACACAAATAATAGAGTTACTTATATCAAGAAATGCTTTGAAGGGAAAAGAACAATAGTGTATGAAAGAGGATAGTAAGGGAGAAGTATTATAATTTGGGGACCAGGGGAGAGATACTGCGCTTAGCAAAAAATACAACACAGAGATTTATAGCTAATGAGCAGATTGAGGTGGTCACTGGATGGAAAATTACTAAGAGGAGACATCAAGAGTAGGGGTTCTCTCTCAATAGACATAATCGAATTCTTACTAAGGGCAGGCCAAGCACTTACACATCAAGAATGGGAGATGAGGAGCTTGATTAAATATCAAAGGTAATCAGATATCAAGGGTAGGATGACTTAGCAGTATTTTTTGCTGAGACTGACTTAGATCAAGGCCAAGGCCTGAGAATGATACCTAGTTGAAAAGAGAGCTCAGAGGAGTCCTGTTAAAGTTCATTCAAGGAGAGAGTCGTTGTCAAATGAGAAGCCATTATAGGATGTTAAATAGAGGCCCTGGTATGCCAATTTCATTTTCAAAGATTACTGCTCTTGGTAGAGCAAGTGGGCAAGGATGGAAGAGATTGCAGTGGTCCAGTAAATATGATGATGATAGTTCAGCTTTGATCAGGACTCTCCTCCTAATACTGCAGAACCTAAAATGAGGCTCTAGCTGTATCATCACAATTAGCTAGTTGTTAACTAAAACCCCAAACCTTTTTCAGACCATGCTACTGGCCAAAATTCCCCTGTGTTGTGTTTGTGTAATTGATATGTTCCTAATCACACAGTTAACATTTATTCTTGTTAAATCTCTTCATGTTGGTTTCATTTTTTTTCTGATACCCTTGAATTCTGACAACTGCTTCCTGAATAATGTCAGCAATGCATCCATAGTTCAGGTATTCTTTTCTTTCAGAGGATATTCAGTATTTACCAAGTCATACAGTTTGGAGGTATGGTTTTAGTAATAGTAAAACGTCTGTTGTGTATAACCACATTGTAGGTTACCAGTCTCCCTGTAGTAGATAACTAGTGTTACAAATCTGATCATTAATCAGGCTATTGCTGTTTAGGATAATTCAGTATAATGCATTTGTTATAAAATGTAAATACAATGGCAAGTTTGCAGTTGTTAATTGATAAAAACTAAGTCTGCTTTTTATACTCTGTTTGCTGTAACATAAACAGCACAATGAGTTTTCTTTTAATGAACATTAAATTTTGTGTATATTCATGAGAGGAGGGAAAATAGATTACCTAATTGTTGCAGGGAGTATGGCCAGAGTCGCAAAAGATGAGTCCGCAAACAAAATGCAGTTAAGTAAAGGTCCTGACTCAAAAATGAAGCTTCTTTTTATTAGGATAATTGCTAAAGACTACATACATAAAGTCAGCTAAGCAAGTGTGTTAATCAATCTAATGGTTTAGCTTTTCAAGGTTGAATTTCGAGTTAATTGGTTTCTATAGCACTAGGAAGGGTCAGGTGTGAAGGAGGATCCGGCCCTGGACAATGTTAATGGCTCTAGTGTTCAGCTGTGTAAACGTGTCCTAAGGCCTTGCACCTTCTCCAGCCCTTCCCTTTTGAAGTCTTTTCCTTTGATGCTTCTCCTGCATCTCCCACATCTAATGATTTAGTACACTTATGAAGCAAATGTTTTCATGAAATGGTACTAATCCGTATTACATATTCTCTTCCTCTTGTTTAAGATTGCTCTAAGGTATATACCTTGTAGTGGAGTGCTAGGTCTTTAGATTTTGTTCAGCATTGTTAGCAGTAAATTTCCTTTTTTTTTTTTTAAAGTATTTATTTTGAGAGAGACTGCGGGAGAGAGACAGAAAGAGAGGGAGAGAGAATCCTAAGCAGGCTCACACTGTGTGCTCAGAGCCTGACTTGGGGCTCGAACTCATGAACCGCAAGATCATGCCTGAGCCAAAATCAAGAGTCCAACGCTTAACCGACTGAGCCACCCAGGTGCCCCAATGGTAAATTGGTTTCTGAAGTGGCAGTACCATATTAGTCTCCCACTGACAGTATAAAACACTTCTAGGGGCTCTGGGTGGCTCAGTAGTTAAGGGTCTGACTTCGGCTCAGGTCATGATCTTGGGGTTTGTGAGTTAGAGCCCTGCGTCAGGCTCTCTGCTGTCAGCACAGAGCCCGCTTTGGGTTCTCTGTCTCCCTCTCTCTGCCCTTTCCCCACTCACGTGCTATCTCTGTCTCTCAGAAATAAACATTTAAAAAAAACTCTTTAAAAACACACTTCTAATTGAACCACATCCTCACCTACATTTGGAATTACCTAGACTTCTTTATGTTTGTATATCAAGAGGGTGTAAAGTGGTATATTGCTGTGGTCTTAATTTGGATTTCCCTGATTAGTAATGAAGTTGAGCAACTTTTCATGTATTTATTAACCATTTATGTTTTCCTTTTCTGAGGAATGCTTGTTTTCTGTTTCTCATTTTTTTAATGGGTTGTCTGTCTTGTGGCTTCATAGGGGATCTTTATATATTTAGATATTCTTTGTTTAGTGTGTATTGAAAATATCTTTTCCAGTTTTTGGCATATCTGTCACCTTTATTAAATCTTCTGATAAATGGAAGTTTTGGATCTTAATATAGTTGAATTTATCTCATAGTCAGTACTTTTTGTGTCTCATTCAAAATATTATCTCCAATTACAGCATTATAAAAACATTGTCCTGTGCTTTTCTTGTAAACATTTCAAAATTTTCCTGTTAAGACATAGAAACACTTATTGTTTTGTGTGTATGTTGTGTGAGGTAGGAATGCAGTTTCATTTTATTCCATTGACTAATTTCCCTAGCATCATTCTGTCCCTTCTACTTCACTCACCTCTCTGGTCATCTCTGTTGTGTGTGAAGTTTCCATGTGTATGGGTCTGTTTGTGGCTTTTTGATTTTGGTTTTTTGGGTTTGTTTTTGTTTTTGTTTTTGTTTTTTCCTGTTTTATTGGTTAACTTTTCTATTGCTGGACCAATTCCATACATTAATCACTACAGGTTGTTAATAAGCCTTAAAATGAGGGACAAGTGCCCCGACCCTATTATCTTGCTATTTTTGATTCTTTGCTCTTACATATAAAATGTAGAAACAAGTTTGTCAAGTTGCTTGAAAAACCTCTTGGGGTTTTTTATTGTAATTAATCTTTATTGACATCTTTATGATTTTTTTAGTATTACCTATGAATATGGTCTAGGTTTCTGCATATTTAGCTCTTCATTTATCTTTCAAAAGTACATTTTTCTCATAGAAGCCTTGTACATCTTTGTTGACTTCATAAATGTATTTTATTGCTATTATAAGTGGAATCTATCTTAAAAATCATTTTAACTGCTTCTAGTGTGTATAAAAGCACATTGGGTTTGCATATTAACCTTATATCCAAAAATCTTGTTACATTTTCTTAGTCTGTAGACTTTTTAAGTTCCCTGTGAAGATGTCCTCTTCAATTAAAGGATTTCTTTGATTTTTAGTCTTTATACTTATAAATTACTCTTCTTACCATGCTGGTATCTCAAGATATTCTTGCACTATTCCTGATCTTGAAGGGAATTCTTATAAAATATAATTGAATTTTATGTTTTTAAAGGTGTTTTATAGGCATCCTTTATCAGATAAAATAAGCTTTTACCCATAGCTTGTTGAATTTTTAATCATGACTAAATGATTAAATTGCATCAAATGCTTATGCTGTATCTATTGAGATGGTTGGTTTTTGCCTTAACCTGTTAATTTAGTGAATTAGATTGATAACTTTTCTAATGTTAAAACTTCCTTGCATTTTGAGATGTGATTAAGATGTATTATCTGTTTTTCTACATCATGAGATTTGATTTGCTAATACTTTGTTTAGAATTTTTACATCTATACTCTTGAGTAAGTTTAGACTATAAGTTTCTTTTTTACACTGTTCCTGTCTGGTTTTCATATCCAAGTTATACTGCCTGAATAGGTATTGCCTTTTACTTGTGTATCACAGGAAGAGATTATATACTATAGCTTGAAAGATTAGACCTGGACTTTGTGGGAGGACAGTTACAGAACTATTTAGGCTTCCTGTTGTTTCTGAAATCATTTTTTAATATAATTTTAGGAATTAGGCAGAATAAACAGTTTTTAAATGTACAGGCATACATTAGTTTATATCTTCTCAATCTCTTCTGGATCTGTTACGATTCCTTTTCCATTTCTGATGTTAAATTTAATATCTTTATTTTTTCTTTGAACAATCTTGCCAAAAGTTTGCCTATACCTACTAATCTTTTCAAGAAGTGACTTTTGGCTCTGTAATATACTGGTTTTCTCTTTGATTAATTTCTGCTCTGTTTTTACTTCCTACCTCCCATTTGTTTTGGTTTACTATCTTTTCCTAATATGTTAGAGTCTTAGCTCACTGATTTACAGAGCCTTTCTTCTTTTTTTACTACTGCTTTAAAACTGTACATTTCCCTCCAAGTTTTACATTCACTGAATCCCAGTTTTTGTTGTTTTATTTTTTATTTTTTTTAATTGGCATATAATTGACATACATTATGTTAGTTTCAAGTATACAACCTAATTATTCGGTATTTCTATATATTGCAAAATGATCACTACAATATATCTAGTTAATATCCATCACCACACAAATCCCAAACTTTATATTTTTATTGTCATCCCATTTAATGCTTTTAAATTCCTATTGGGATTTCTTCTTTACTGTAATTATTCTGGAGTATTTTTAGATTTCCAAACAGGACTTTTTGGGGAGGGTTTTGGATTTCATTTTATTGATTTGCATTGCAGTCAGAGAATAGAATCTCTGACAGTCTTTGGAATTGGTTAAGATTTGTTTCATGCCCTTTAGTACATGATCAGTTTTTATAAAGGTTCCCTGTGTGCTTGAAGAGAATGTGTATTCTATATTAATGAGTGGCTTTGCTATATATTCATGTCCATTGGGTCAATCTAATATGTTATTCAACTTTTCTATATTTCTGTTGATTTTGACTACTTGTCTGTCATTTACTGAAAGAGATTGTTTAAATTCTGCCACTGATTATTTGTCACTTTCTTCCTGTACTTTGGTCATCTGGTTTATATATTTTGATGCTTTTTCTACTCCAACTAATTTTTTATTATCTTAAAGCTGTTTTATCTGATATTACCAGGTATCCCATCTTTCCTTTGTTTAGTATTTGCCTGGCTTATCTTTTGCTGTCTTTTACTTTCATCCTTTCCATCTCCTTATGTTTTAGATGTATCATTTTTTTTTAAGTTTAGTATTTTTTTAATTCTTTTTTGTTTAATGTTTACTTATTTTTGACAAAGAGAGAAACAGCATGAGTCGGGGAGGGGCAGAGAGAGGGGGAGACAGAATCCGAAGCAGGCTCCAGGCTCTGAGCTGTCAGCACAGAGCCCGACCTGGGGCTCGAACTCACAGACCGTGAGATCATGACCTGAGCCGAAGTCGGACGTTTAACCAACTGAGCCACCAAGGCGCCCCAGTATTTTTTTAAATTCTAATCTAATAATAGGCTATTTACATTTTTGTGGTTGTTGATATGTTCATTTAAAATCTTGCCATCTGTTTATTTCCTCTTTGTCTCACTTTCTTCTTTCATTGATTGCATTTTTTTGAGTAAGCCTTTATTGTAAAATAATTTTCAATTTATAGAAAAGTTGCAAAAGACAAGACAGATTTCTAATACGCCCTTTACCCAGCTTCCCCTAATGTTACATAACATCTTATGTAATCGTGGTATATTCGTCAAAACCAAGAAATAACATTGGTATAATACTATTAACTGCAGACTCTTCAGATCTCTCAAGTTTTTCCACTAATGCCCTTTCTCTGTTCCAGGATCCAATTCAAGAATCCACGTTTTAATAAAGATTTTAATAAATAATTTTAAGGTTTTCCAAACATTAAAGGAATACAAACAAATATAAACAAATCTATTTTATAATACCCACATTTAACAAATATTAATATATTGTAGGTCCATCATTCCTTATTGGTGATTATAAAATATTTTTTAAAACCCTTGAAAGCCAAAAGCTTTTTCACAGGTTATATGGTGGCAAAACAGTGTATCATCTTTAACTAATTTTAACGTGACTACTTTTAAGTCTTTTATAGATTTAACTACAAGTGTTAGAAGGTCCTCACTCCTTGTATCTCAGAGCAATTCGGGATCCATTACTTCTTTCTGAAGTATGACCTTTAAAAATTTCTTTAGTGTCAATGTATCAGTGGTAATTTTTCTCAGATGTACTTATCCAAAAGGTTTGCCTTCATTCTTAAAAGACAGTTTTGCTGGATGTATAATTCTGTGTTGACAGGAATTTTCTCCAAGCCTTTTGAAGATTTTATTCTACCTGATTCTGGCTTCCATTGTTACTATTAAGCCTCTCCTGTCAACCTAATTGTTATTCCCTTATAGATGACCTAGCTCCAACTGCTTTTAAGACCCTGTCTTTGATGTTTTGCAGATTCACTATGAAGTATCTAGGTTGTTGTTTCTGTTTTTAGTCCTCCTTAATTTACAGAGTGCCTCAACCTACAGATTCATATCTTTCATCAGTTCTGAAAAGTTCCTAGCAATAACTTCTTGTGATTTTATCTTTACTCTGTCTTAACTATGAATATATGTCAGACCTTCTGATTCTATTCAGTTCTTTGTAACTCTCTTTCACATTTGTTTCTTTGTCTCGGCCTTTGCTACGTTCTAGGCAGTTTCTTCAAATTCATCTTCAGTTCATTTATTCTCTGCAGCTTTCAAAGTTATCTAATTGGCTAATCCATTTGTAAAGAGTATAGGACAGGAAGAACAGCATGTACAGCCAAGGCATTCTCTCAAGAGGTCTTGAAACAAGCCCAAGTGCACTCCCTAGGCCCCCTCAGGGAGGCACACTTAGCTGTAAGTGGGAGTGAACCACCTTAGCACAGAGAAGTCTCTCAGCACATAGAACCTCAACAGTTTCTTTATTCAGTCCTGATTCAACACCTCAAGACCTGTATGCCGAATCTTCTCAGTCTTAATGCAATTCTTAAATTAGGGGATTCATAATACATTACATTGATAATCAGTTCTCCTGATAGTAGTGCTAAATAAAGCATTTGCCCTCAGAGCAACTTGGTTTTTTTGTTTTTGTTTTTGTTTCATTTTTAAGTTTATTTTGAGGGAGAAAGAGAGCACAAGCAGGGAGAAGGCAGACTGAGAATCCCAAACAGGCTCTAAGCCCAGTGCAAGGCTTGATCTTGTGAACCAAGATCATGACCTGAGCCCTTTAGCCAAGATCAAGAGTCAGACGCTTAACCACTGAGTCACCCAGGCACTCCAGAGCAACTTGGTCTTTTAAGAAGGCTTGCACAACACAGGTAGAGCCGTTTTTGTTTTGTTTTTGTTTTCCCCTTGTAAATTTTCCCCTACATTGAGTAATTTTACATTTATGCAGGATCTTTGTTTTGTCCTTTCATAAATCTAGTTAGTGATACTCTCTGGAATGATATTTAAATTCCAAACTTGAAAGAAAACTGAATTCTAAATGTAAATAAGTAATACTTTTTTTTTTTTTTTTTTTTTTTTTTTT